TAGACATAATACAATAATGAACGTCAAGTAAGTTGAGCTGTTATCAACGCCCGCTGGCGTGGACTTCCCGACGACAATGCGAACCTACCGACCAGCACGCCGCCGGTGTCCGAAAATACAAGGAGCCCAGCCTCTCAAGCAACATTACCTTAATCAAAACTGCACGCTTTCGTCCCCTCTACGCCACGCACTTTCCCTTTGTTTCCCATTGAAACTGAGCTCTTCATCATCAACACAAACAGAATTCATTTCTTGCCCTTCACTATTCCATCAAAGATTAATACTTTATGACACCCAAATCCCTGAAACCCATGAATCATCCGCAATTCCTTCTTCTTCTTCTCTTCTTTACTCTGTTTTCAAAACCTTCTCTTTCTGACCCAAGAGCTACTCTGGCTGCTCGAGTGTGTTCCAACAATACTGCTGCCTTAGCTGAGCGGGGGACTTTCATATCCAACTTCTTAGCGTCAATGGATGTTGTGTCGCCGCTTATTGCCCGGCAGAGATATGCGGCAGTGGTCAACGGGACGGGGAATACCACGGTGTACGCATTTGGGGAGTGCATGAAGGATCTTGATCAAAGGGATTGTAACCTCTGTTTCGCCCAGTCCAAAACCCAGATTTTAAGATGCCTCCCCTTTCAATTAGCCACGCGGGGCGGCAGACTTTTCTACGACGGGTGCTATTTGAGGTATGATGATTACAATTTCTTCAACGAGAGTTTGACTCCTCAGGACAGGACCGTCTGTGCTGCAAATGATGTCGGAAGCAACCAGACGGTTTTCAGTGCTATTGCAATGGAGCTGGTCAAGAATTTGAGCGTTCTGGCGCCGAAAAATGATGGGTTTCTTTTTGGGTCTTTGAATCGGGGGAATGTGTCGGTTTATGGGTTGGCTCAATGTTGGGAGTTTGTGAACGGGAGTGCTTGTGTGCATTGTTTGGCGAATGCTGTTTCGAAGATTGATTCATGTCTACCTAAGGAAGAAGGGAGGGCGTTGAACGCCGGCTGTTACCTGAGGTATTCGACGGTGAGATTCTATAACAATTCATCTCCTGGCCCAACCACTGGAAATGGAGGTGAGTTTTTGATCCTTTCTTCCTTGCTTTCTTATGAATGTTTTGTTGTTGTTGTTTTTGTTGTTGTTTTCTTTTCTTTTCTTTTTTTTTTTCTTTTTTTTTTTATTTAATTTAACCAATTTCAAGTTAACATATTGGAATTTGGTAACATTTCTAGATTGTAGAATGGAATCATTTATCATATGAGGATGCATAGAAAATGGATTGTGAATCCTAAATTTTAAGTGACTCAAATTCTGTGTCAATTTTTGTGACATGGTTCTGTCGATGGCTGTCAGGAAACAGAAAATTAGATATTATCTTGGCTACGACCTCTTCTGCTGTGGCTCTTTTGCTGATTTTAGTGGCAGGCATTTTTTACGGAAAGGAGTTTGTGAAGAAAAGGAGAGGTATTAATCTTTGTTGTTCATGAGCTTTTAAGGTTCTGAGACTATCGTTGGTATACAACTCTACTCACCTGGGATACGCTCTGTATATAGAGAGGAAGCAATTAGGAGCTCTAGCTGCTGCTGTTAACAAGTCCAAGCTCAATTTCTCGTATGAATCTCTTGAAAAGGCTACAAATTACTTTCATCATTCCAAAAAGTTAGGACAAGGAGGATCTGGTACTGTGTACAAAGTATGTTCTGATTGAAGATTTTAGTTCATCTTATGCTGAAAGTCATGCCATCTCTCAATGATTTATGGGTAATCTTTTATATTTATAACAGGGAGTTTTGCCTGACAGCAAGGTTGTTGCTGTAAAAAGGCTTTTCTTTAACACAAGACAATGGGTGGATCATTTCTTCAATGAAGTCAATTTAATCAGTGGCATCCATCACAAAAACCTTGTATCGCTGTTGGGGTGCAGCATTACAGGCCCAGAAAGCCTTCTTGTTTATGAGTTTGTGCCGAATCAGAGCCTCCACGATTATCTCTTTGGTTGGTATCAATGATCATTAATGCCAAGAAATTTGATACACTCTATTTCTCTATTCTTACTCATGGTTTAATGAATATGATACAGTTAGGAGAGATGTTCAGCCTCTGGGTTGGGAGGCAAGGTATAAGATCATATTGGGAACAGCTGAGGGCTTGGCTTATCTTCATGAAGAATCAAGGCTGAGGATCATACATCGAGACATAAAACTTAGCAACATTTTGCTTGATGAAGACTTTACACCCAAGATTGCTGATTTTGGACTTGCTAGACTATTTCCTGAAGATAAGACTCACATCAGTACTGCCATTGCTGGCACTTTGTAAGTTAAACATCCTTGATTATCTATCTACATTGCTTTTCACTAGCAATGTTCGTTTTAACTTATGCATTTAATTTCTTTATTTACTACATGCTCATTTGATTTACATGTGTAGAGGGTACATGGCACCAGAGTATGTAGTTCGAGGGAAGTTGACAGAAAAGGCAGATGTCTATAGTTTTGGAGTTCTTGTTATTGAAGTTATTTGTGGAAAAAAGAACTCTGCCTTCTCTGAAGACTCAGTTTCAATTTTGCAGATGGTAATTCTTTTGGCATTATTAATAATTAATATCTGCTGATACATATTTCTTTTCTAGTTTCTGGCCTTGAAACTCACCAAAATCCTCCTCATCTTCTTTTTATTGCAAAGGTTTGGAATCATTATGGAGCAGGTAAACTTTGTGAAGCAGTTGATCCAGTTCTAAGGGACAATTTTCCTGAAGAGGAGGCATCTCGACTGCTCCAAATAGGCTTACTTTGTGTACAAGCTTCAGCAGAACTTCGACCAGCAATGTCCATGGTTGTGCAGATGTTTACTGATAATCAAGAAATTCCTCGGCCATCACAGCCTCCATTTCTCAACCTTAATAGCTCAGATATCAGCCAAAATATCCCGCCTGCCATTCACAATTCTCAGCCTGAATCTTACACCCAGTCTTCAGGGAATAGCTTGACACAAAGCTGGATTGAACCTAGATGACGCGTTGTGTTGAGGATTCATCTTTCCCTGACTTTGCAGCACTCCTCTGATTAGCCGAGGTTGCAGCACCTCTGTCTTTCCTAGTATCATACACTACATGTTCAAGTAACTCTCCGAGCAGTGTCTCTATAGTTGAATAATGCCGTGGAAATTACACATGATTTGATTCAAGGAAAGCAGATTTTCTGCTATGGCGATGTAATTAATGATGATGTTCTGAGATTTTGTTTTCGTCACTATGATTAGAGCTGCATTGTTTGTGTAAACTACATGTAAAGCCTCCTGACATTATTCTTTATTCAGAGATCCATTGGCAAATAATGCGATATTCTTAAAGAGATACATTCTTTATTGTCTTTTTGGTCCATATTCTAAATGAATGTTCTTTGCTCAAAAGCTGAAGCTGGGTGCAATGTAGAAAGTTAGATGTAATTTTTTTCAAAACTTACTTAAAAGTTATTTTATAAGTTAGTTTTTGAATTTTTCTTTAGTAAAATTTTAAATTTATAAAAAAAAAAATTACTTTTAAAAAATGTTATTTTTTATGTTTTAGCCAACATTTTTTTAGGTATCAAGACTCTTTTTTTCAAAGAACAGATTTTGCTCGTTTAAATTTTTTTATATTTGATAACCTTCATAGTAATTTCTAAGTTTTTTATAATTATTTTATAAAAATTCATAATTTAACACTTCTTCGAAATTTCTATGCAAAAAGCACTTCTACATCCAATTCAAACAAACTCAGGGAAACTTGGAAAGTATTTAGGTCAAAATAAAATGCATTTGCTTCTACCCAATTGCCTTTAAGAAAATGAATTATTTGACCAACCCATTTTTGCAACTACCTCCATTATTCCACCAATTCTTCATTACGGTCTTCTGTCTTCCCCTTTTGTTCAATTCAAGCAAGACTTTTACGGAGCACTAAATGAGAAGATGTAACCATTCACATTTCAATTCTTCCTTGACATCAAAACTTACACGACTCTCGAAAACTTAAGTTGACCTTGAACCAAAAAACTTCTAGAGTTACACTTGCAATATCTCCCAACGTTAGATTAGGGTATCATGAAATATGAAAATTCATAGGGGAAATTAAAAGAAAATAATTTAAGAGAAAAATAAAATAAAGGGTTTTGGCATAGAAGGTGCAATAGGTCAATGAGAACCTTCAAAGTTGTAAATTGTAATTTAAGCAAAACGTGACATATATGCATACGATGTGTTGATTTCTGCTTTTGTGAAGATGGTTTGTTAAACTAATTAGCTTACCACACGCAGAAAATTGCGGCCTGGTTTATGAAATTTAATCGTGCTTGAGAGGGGTTTTTTTTTTTTTTCTTAATATTCAAGGTGTTTTCTGAATTAGTTTATTCACATCTCCAGATTAATTTCTTTTAATTTAATTAAATACAAATTATTTATATCAAAATTGAAAACGTATGAAAAATTATTTTTTCATTTACCTCTTAAAAAATTAAACTTTAATTAATAAAGAAGAAAACAAACTTTTTAAGTAATTAAACTACAATTCTTGAATATACTTGATAGTATTTAATCTTCTAAAGTTTGTGGAGTCAGGCATGAACAGCTAGCTGGAGTTTTGGTGGATGACTTTTCGTTCGAAAACAAACTCCTTAGCTCCAAATTTTCCAACTCTGAGTTGGGATCCATCCAAAATGGGAAAAAAAATTTAATTAATCATAGCATAATTTCTTAACCTTAACTGGTCAACACGGACATTTCATCAAGCCGGACCTGTTTTAAAATCATATATTATTAATATGGATGGTATTATAGAGATAATTTTTTTATTTTACTTTTTTATATAACTTTTATATATTATTAAATAAATTGATGCATTAAATATCACGAATCTCACATAAATTAAAAAAACTAATCATTTTAATGATACATCAAGTTGTACTAAAAAATGATAAAAAAAATTATATAAAAAGCATTTCTTTATTAATGTTTACCTATTAGCTTAATCAATGATTGTAATTGACTTAATTGTTATTATATTAATGACGCATCTATGATTATGAACTCAACTTGACATTATAAATCATTATTCTTGTTGACATTTAAGAAGGCAATCTACCACTCCACAAAAAATTAGTCAACAAAGACCTTATTATTTAAGATTTTAGCCCAAGTTTTAATTATTGAGGTTAAAAAACTTCCCTCCCATTGGTGTCTTTCAAACCAAACATCTAAACCAATAACAACGTAATAAGATTGGGTGGAATTTATTATTCCTCTTCTTTAGACTTTCATTTTTTAAGGAAAAAAATATTCTTTAATTCTTAACTAATCTATATATATAATGCTA